TCCTGGACCATTCTCAATCGACTTGAGAATGGTCCAGGACGGACCGAAACGTCGTCGCCCCTTCACCTTCTAGTGTGTGGTCTGGTCAAGCAAGATAGATCGTCCGTTACCAGTTCGAACAAGTAATACACCGACTTATCATCCTCTATTACCATCATTTTACCTTGGGTTTACCTCGAGTATGTTCCGAGAGTTCTTCTACTCCCCAAGCCCGGCTTGGGCCCAGGTAAGTCATGCGATAACTTGATATATAGGTCAGTTACTTGGACCGACCCAGAGACAGTAATACTATTACAGGGATTACCAATACATTTAAACCATGTCCCCATCGTGATGATCGCAGGAGACCCCTAAGAGCAGCCAAACGTCCCCTCGCCCTCACCCAGATACAAGCAAGAGGGGAAATATGTGGACCTGCGGACCGCTCCAAGCAACAGTCTCTTGGACCAAATTGTCACAAGTCAAGCCTGGCCCCAGGCCCAGCTTGGGGGAGTAGAAAAAACTCTCAGAACCTTCTGCTGGTAATACATGATAACAGATAAGGAAAGAAGATAATTATACATGGTGATACCTCTGTTGTATGCAAGCAAAACAAGTGAGGACACAGGACCATCATCTTCCAGCTGTCACAACATCACAACATCACATTCTCGACCCAGAGTTTATAATAATAATAAACAGAAGAAATTAAAAACCACAAATTTTGATAAAAGATGCAGCATCCATCAGCCGTGTGAGAGCATGATGTTGTGGGGGCGGGATGACCCCCCCTCTCGCTTCGGGGAAAATCACGGGATCAACTAAGCCTTATACTCTCACTCTCCCCCCCACGCCCACAACCCTCCCCCCACACGCCCACAACCCCTCACCACCACAGAGTTCACACTCCATAACACATTTCACGCACCCACACCCTGCCCTTCTCACACGCCCATCACGCACCCTACCAGTAACGCACACAAATCTGTGAATTCGCGAACTTTTGAACGCAATTTTTTTTTGTGTGTGTAGGTTCTACATTTATGCGAGCCCGTAAGCTCTCTGGCACGCCATGTATTTTGCTGTGTGCACTGAATATTATTTCTTTGTTCTGTTATAGATTACAAATACAACAAAAAAAATATAATCACAACACGTACAACATTTCAGCGAATGTTTATAGATACACAGGAGAGCAAAACATAGACAAAAGAGCTTTTTGTTTTTTGTTTCAGCTCCTTTTGCTTTGTTTTTGTTAATGTGTGTGTGTGTGTGTGTGTGTGTGTGTGTGTGTGTGTGTGTGTGTGTGTGTGTGTGTGTGTGTGTGTGTGTGTGTGTGTGTGGAGGTGCCTCGGTGCCATTATCTGCAGGTGGATTCTCACGCGTGGCACCGGCCTTAACGGGCAAAGTTTCTGCCAGTCCGGCGCAGAGTTCGCACTCTCCTGGTGACTTTCCCTGGCAAGCTCCACGCGCAGTGTTAGTCGTATACACTCTACACTACGGACTTTACAACAGCAAATGTCGAGTACAATAATAAAGAGTTTTCTCTGATGCAAGAATTTGTCCATGCTTGGTTATATTGAATATCTTTGAGATCACTGTTCCCAGTGATGTAATGTGCTCCCTACTGGCTAAGAACCAATGTGCTCCCTGCTGGCTAAGAACCAATGTGCTCCCTGCTGGCTAAGAACCAATGTGCTCCCTGCTGGCTAAGAACCAATGTGCTCCCTACTGGCTAAGAACCAATGTGCTCCCTGCTGGCTAAGAACCAATGTGCTCCCTGCTGGCTAAGAACCAATATGCTCCCTGCTGGCTAAGAACCAATGTGCTCCCTGCTGGCTAAGAACCAATATGCTCCCTGCTGGCTAAGAACCAATGTGCTCCCTGCTGGCTAAGAACCAATATGCTCCCTGCTGGCTAAGAACCAATGTGCTCCCTGCTGGCTAAGAACCAATGTGCTCCCTGCTGGCTAAGAACCAATGTGCTCCCTGCTGGCTAAGAACCAATGTGCTCCCTGCTGGCTAAGAACCAATGTGCTCCCTGCTGGCTAAGAACCAATGTGCTCCCTGCTGGCTAAGAACCAATATGCTCCCTGCTGGCTAAGAACCAATGTGCTCCCTGCTGGCTAAGAACCAATGTGCTCCCTGCTGGCTAAGAACCAATATGCTCCCTGCTGGCTAAGAACCAATGTGCTCCCTGCTGGCTAAGAACCAATGTGCTCCCTGCTGGCTAAGAACCAATGTGCTCCCTGCTGGCTAAGAACCAATATGCTCCCTGCTGGCTAAGAACCAATGTGCTCCCTGCTGGCTAAGAACCAATGTGCTCCCTGCTGGCTAAGAACCAATATACTCCCTGCTGGCTAAGAACCAATATCCTCCCTGCTGGCTAAGAACCAATGTGCTCCCTGCTGGCTAAGAACCAATCTCCTCCCTGCTGGCTAAGAACCAATATGCTCCCTGCTGGCTAAGAACCAATGTGCTCCCTGCTGGCTAAGAACCAATGTGCTCCCTGCTGGCTAAGAACCAATATCCTCCCTGCTGGCTAAGAACCAATATGCTCCCTGCTGGCTAAGAACCAATGTGCTCCCTGCTGGCTAAGAACCAATGTGCTCCCTGCTGGCTAAGAACCAATGTGCTCCCTGCTGGCTAAGAACCAATGTGCTCCCTGCTGGCTAAGAACCAATATGCTCCCTGCTGGCTAAGAACCAATATCCTCCCTTTCTAGCCAATGCTCACTATTGGCTAGAACCCCGTTCCGCGTTGGTTCCATAACGAACCGGTCAAAAATTTTCTACAAATTCTGCTGTTTCTGCATTGCTTACTTTGTTAATAAGATTATTGTACCAAAATTTAAAAAATAACGCATTGTAATTCGTATACACATTAGTTGGATGTTAATGACAATACATTAATGAAAAATTAACGTTGTGAGAGAGTTGTGGATTGAATGACAACACCAAAAGGTCCCGAAGCAGGCTCTAGTATAATCCTTTAGTGCATAGGTTCGAATCTCCATCACGGCTCCTGTGGATTTTCTCATTGATATATTACGATAATGTGATTCATCTGTGCATTTTTTATATGTAGATATGGGTAGGTAGGAATGTAGATGGGGGTGGGGCCTGACGGCTGAGTGGACAGCGGTGGAGGTTAGTAGTCCTAAGGGTCCGGGTTCGATCCCCGGCTGAGGCGGAAACATATGGGCATAGTTTCCATCATCCTGGTGGGTCTGTTCACCTGGTAGTAATTACCTGGGAGTTATACAGCTGCTACGGGCGGCTTCCTTTGTGTGTGTGTGTGTGTGTGTGTGTGTGTGTGTGTGTGTGTGTGTGTGTGTGTGTGTGTGTGTGTGTGTGTGTGTGTGTGTGTGTGTGTGTGTGTGCGTGTGTGTGTGACGAAAACAAAAGTTGATTGACAGTTGACAGGCGGGTCGAAAGAGCCAAAACTCAACCCCCGCAACCACAACTAGGTGAACACACACACACACACACACACACACACACACACACACACACACACACACACACACACACACACACACACACACACACACAGGGAGGAACCAAATCATGTAACATTCAGTCAAGGATCTGCTATGGAGTCCCTGAGATCCCGGAGTCGAACAAACAAGGGACCTGCATGACTTGGGGATGGGTGACGGGGAATGGGTACGGGGGATGGGTACGGGGAATGGATGCTGGGTACGGGCCAAGATTTGTGGGAGGGGGGGGGAGATAACGCGGAAGAGCGCTCTGCCACCGCAGGAAAGTGTAAGGTGCACGTGTAGTTTAGGTTCCCTCAGCGCACGTCTTTCGTACCTAAGATTATGCGAGTGAGTCAATCCAGGTCTAGGTGTGTGTGTGTAAGGGGGAGCGGAGGGGGGGGGGCCGTGGGAGGCTACACCTACACACAAGAAACTAGCAGGACAGGGAGACACAGGCAGGACACGGAGACACAGGCAGGACACGGAGACACAGGCAGGACACGGAGACACAGGCAGGACACGGAGAACAAGCAGGACACGGAGACACAGGCAGGACACGGAGAACAAGCAGGACACGGAGACATAGGCAGGACAGGGAGACACAGGCAGGACAGGGAGACACAGGCAGGACAGGGAGACACAGGCAGGACACAGAGACATAGGCAGGACAGGGAGACACAGGCAGGACACAGAGACATAGGCAGGACACGGAGACACAGGCAGGACACGGCAATACACACAAGACCAGGTAAGTATCCTGCCACCCATAACAATACCCTTCCTGAACGCCATGGGGTTTCTACCTGGGTGGATAATGATATCTTCTGAAGTTCTCATTATGCACACAACGATTTCCTGGCACCGCAGTTATTGTACTCTTCGAACCACGATAACGTATCCGCCTGGAATACTCCTCTGCACTCTCCTATTACAAGACAAGAGCGATATCAGAAACATAACGTCAAACGGATTGATTTTCATTGTTGCCGCCGGAGGCGGCTAGTTTATTGTGCAACCCATACTCATTCTGTGACTGATAGCGCAAAAAGGATTACATAAAGTGTTCCTCTGTTGCACGTTGTGATGAAGAACTGTAATCCCTCCAAAAGAGACATATTATAATATATATATATATATATATATATATATATATATATATATATATATATATATATATATATATATATATATATATATATATATATATATATATATATATATATATATATATATCAAAAACTCTTAGAATAGGTTCAGGTCCCAAACAGGTAAGCAAATGATGCCATAAGTATAGCTGGAGAACGCTATGATAACCAGAGGCAGGACACCATTAAACCTTCTGCCAAAAGATACAAGAAATCTTGCTGGAACAAAGCCTGAAGTCTTCAACAGAGAATTAGACAGATTCCTAGAGGAGGTACCTGCTCAGCCCGGTTATAATGGCTGCCTGAGTAGATCAGCGACAGCTTTACCAAAGTCATCTCCTAGAGAAAGAGCTTGACCTCGGGAAATGTAGTCTAAACAGGCTACAGGTGAACCTATCTTGACTGATAATCAGCTTCCATTGTCTTTACATACTCTCGGAGGTTGCCTGGACCTCGCGGAGGTTGCCTGGACCTCGCGGAGGTTGCCTGGACCTCGCGGAGGTTGCCTGGACCTCGCGGAGGTTGCCTAGACCTCGCGGAGGTTGCCTGGACCTCGCGGAGGTTGCCTGGACCTCGCGGAGGTTGCCTGGACCTCGCGGAGGTTTCCTGGACCTCGCGGAGGTTGCCTAGACCTCGCGGAGGTTGCCTGGACCTCGCGGAGGTTGCCTGGACCTCGCGGAGGTTGCCTGGACCTCGCGGAGGTTGCCTCGACCTCGCGGAGGTTGCCTGGACCTCGCGGAGGTTGCCTGGACCTCGCGGAGGTTGCCTGGACCTCGCGGAGGTTGCCTCGACCTCGCGGAGGTTGCCTGGACCTCGCGGAGGTTGCCTGGACCTCGGGGAAGTTGTCTGGACCTCGCGGAGGTTGCCTGGACCTCGCGATGTCTAGTAACCATTCTCATGCATACCAACCTTTCACTCCTATTCTGAAATGCCATACTAACACACCCCAACCACGGTAACCGCCACCATACCACCCAGAACCACTAGCAGCACTGTTACAACACTCATAGCTACAACCCCCTCACCACCAACAAAACAACCACAACCACCAGCACCAGAATGAGCATAGAGCATTCATAACTACCGGAAGAACAGCAACACCATAACACAATACATCACCTCACCCCACCCCACCCCACAATACATCACCCCTCCCCACCCCACACTACATCACCTCACCCCACCCCACCCCACCCTACCGCACAATACATCACCCCTCCCCACCCCACACTACATCACCTCATCCCACCCCACCACACCCCTCCCCACCACACCCCTCCCCACCGCACAATACATCACCCCGCCACACCCCACACCTCCCCACTCCACACTACATCACCCTCTGCCAAATAACACTCAAGAAATCCTGCACAAACACAATTATATAGTGATTTCCTGACCATCAAGTGTGTTCCTCTCCAGCGAGGGCTTCCCACACACTCCAGTTTCCTCCCACCATTGTCCTCCGTCTCCTCTCTGCTCCCCCTCTTTCCCCTCACTGCCGCTCTTTCCTTCTTTATCGGCATTCAATCACTTCCCCTTCCCGAGAGCGCAACTCCCTCCCGGGGTAGAGACAAAGAGGGGAATGGAGGTGGGAGAGGGAAGAGTCACAGGAAACAAGAGAAAATAAAGAGACAAAAATCCACAGGAACGACATGAACGCCACTCCGGTCTCTCTCTCTCTCTCTCTCTCCCTCTCCCTCTCCCTCTCCCTCTCTCTCTCTCCCTCCCTCTCCCTCAGTCTCCTCTCCCTCGGAAATATATAATGAAAAAAAAGTATTGCTTGTATGCGACAAAATTCCAGGAAACAGGACAGAAAAGATAAGTATACCCGTCGGTGGCAGCGGTCGCCGCACAACGGGTCAGTGAACGCCGGGCCCCAAAAAAGGTGGGTGGGATAGTGAGCCACGGGGTGGGGGGTGGGGGGGGGGGGGTGTCCTGGCTTGTCCCACCATTCACTGTTTACTGTGGGCGAATAGTCACTGCCAGCCCCTGCTGACATTCCTGCTGGTCTACCCACCTCTTGGCTCTGTTGACGTGCTGAGGGGAGGGGGCCTTGGCCCTGCTGAAGTGCCTGGGGCCTCACCCAGGCCCTGCTGAAGTGTCAGGGGCCCCACCCTGGCCCTGCTGAAGTGCCTGGGGCCTCACCCAGGCCCTGCTGAAGTGTCAGGGGCCTCACCCAGGCCCTGCTGAAGTGTCAGAGGCCTCACCCTGGCCCTGCTGAAGTGTCAGGGGCCCCCTGGTCACGCTGACATGTCTTAAGGGTGCTGCTCCTGGCGCTGCTAATGTACCTGGGGAAGAAGGGGGCCCCCTAGCCATGCGGACGTACTCGAGGGGCCCTGGACCTGCCGTAGTAACATCATCCCTGTGACCAGGACGTAAGATGTTCCAACATCTCGAACCACTGACGCTGAAGGTGAAGTAGAACTTTCACTGCACTTCTCACAAACCAAGTTTTCTAACTAACTAACTTCTTTTTTAAAAAAGTTTTCTAACTAACGCACCACACTCGTGGAAGATCACTCTTCACATCACAGGAGCAGTAAATCTCTTGCTTCTTCATATATCCTGACATTATTTTCGTGTGACTGGCGTGGACCAGGAGGTGCAGGCTGGCGTGGACCAGGAGGTGCTGCAGGCTGGCGTAGACCAGGAGGTGCTGCAGGCTGGCGTAGACCAGGAGGTGCTGCAGGCTGGCGTGGACCAGGAGGTGCTGCAGGCTGGCGTAGACCAGGAGGTGCTGCAGGCTGGCGTAGACCAGGAGGTGCTGCAGGCTGGCGTAGACCAGGAGGTGCTGCAGGCTGGCGTGGACCAGGAGGTGCTGCAGGCTGGCGTGGACCAGGAGGTGCTGCAGGCTGGCGTAGACCAGGAGGTGCTGCAGGCTGGCGTAGACCAGGAGGTGCTGCAGGCTGGCGTGGACCAGGAGGTGCTGCAGGCTGGCGTGGACCAGGAGGTGCTGCAGGCTGGCGTGGGTCAGGAGGTGCTGCAGGCTGTCCTGGGCCAGGAGGTGCTGCAGGCTGGCGTGGACCAGGAGGTGCTGCTGGCTGGCCTGGGCCAGGAGGTGCTGCAGGCTGGCCTGGGCCAGGAGGTGCTGCAGGCTGGCGTGGACCAGGAGGTGCTGCAGGCTGGCGTGGACCAGGAGGTGCTGCAGGCTGGCGTGAGCCAGCAGGTGCTGCAGGCTGGCGTATACCAAGAGGTGCAGGCTGACATGACACAGAGAATTGTAGTGGGATACATGCATAGTGTCAATCTTGCTCACTAGGAAAAGGAAGGGAAGCTGCCGGACACCCACCAACTGTGAAGTCAAAACGATTAGCGCAGTTTTGCGCTAACGGCTTTGCCTCGTCGGTCTACAGCCGAGGGTCCCGGGATCGATTCCTCCTGGTAAGACAGAGACGGTTGGGCACGTTTTCTTACGCCTGTATAATCGCAAGGAAATCACAATGGCGTGATTTATAAATTAAAATTAATTTTGAGGCAAATATATGTAATAGATATAGTTATATATACTAATATATATAGTAATCTATTACTATATATACTAATATATATATAGTAATAGATAGTAGATTGCGACGTTCACTAAGAGTGTGAACGCCATTACTGTAGGCCAGAGAGTGGTCGGGTTGGGCCCCCGGTTTGAGACCTTCAGAACCTCCCAGAGAACTCAGAATTCTGGATTGGGCAACTTTTGTACCACCGTGGCTGGGTCACTTAAGGCAAGCGTCTGGGAATCACCAGGTCACGAGTTCAAGTCACTCCATTGCCACAAATTGAATTAGATATATATATTTCCCCTATATATTCACTTTCCCATATATATATATATATATATATATATATATATATATATATATATATATATATATATATATATATATATATATATATATATATATATATATATATATATATATAATTCAGGGAATAAAATTTGTATTTATTAATATAAAATATTAAATTGATAAATACTTTTGCCTGGTGCGTCTTGTTTTCCTTGCAGAAAATAAGTATCTTGGAGTTAGGCAATTGTTGTGGGTTCCTTCCTGAGGCAGGTCAGTAGTGTAGCCTGGAAGGAACTCCATACACCGACGAGAAACCTTCCTCTCCCCAGACAACGAAAAACTACAGCCATACGCTGCTTCACGCACGACATCTGATGTTCCTTAGACCGTCCAAGTGGTTGGGCACCATTCCTCTCCCACCGTCCCATCCCAAATCATGATCCTGACCCCTTCCTAGTGCTAAATAGTCGTAATGACTTGGCATTTTCCCCCTTGATAGTTCCCTTCCTTCTAAACAAGACGTCCATTACTCCCTCAGAAACGCAACACGACCTTTGACCTTCCTCCTCCGTAATCCCTCTACCATCACATCAATATAAAACACCGTCCTCTACCTCCGTATGTAAACCAATTAGCGAAACGGAGGGGAAAAAAAAGAGCACAAAACAATAAAATAAAAATAGAAACATCAGAAAAATTGAGCAAACATTGCAGACAAAACCGAGCCGCGGCACGAAAAACGGGAACGCGATTCAGCGGCGTGTTTTACGTTTGTTAAAAGTTCTTTTCGTTTTAAAGAGAGAAATTATCTCATGCGCCAATGCTCCAAATATTCCTTCATCATATCGTCATTACTAGACACACACACAAAAAAAGGGTTACAATTAAATGCGTTAGAAATTCCTGAATATAAAGCAGAAAATAATTCTAAAATTCCAGCTTGGTCACAATTCCAGCCATTCCCGAGAATCTGGGCAGAATTCCAGAGCGAGCACGAGAAGGGATGGAGAACACCAGGAATGGGTGAGGGGGAGAGGGGGACACGAGGTGAGGGTAAATCCAGGTGGATAAAGAACAAGGGGAGGGAGAAAGGCTTGGAATGGAGGCATGAAGGAGAGGAGGGATGAAGAATGTTTAAGAAGAAACAGGAGAATGAGGAAATGTGGGGAAGAGAAAATTGGAACTGTACAATGAGGAGAATGAGGGGAGACTTGAAGAATGAGAAAAAGATGAAGGAATTGTGAAGGACAAGATAAAAAAAAAGGAGATAGGTAAGAAGCTAACATAAATGTTAATATTAAAAATGAATGTTAAGGTAAAATGTTAAGAACGTTAAGATAAAAGGGGTAAAGGAGGGGTAAAAGAGAAGAAGGAAAAGGAAGAATAGGAAAGTAAGCATGAGAAAGGGGGGATAGAGATAGCTAAAGCCCAGAACGGAATGTGAGGTGGAAAGGAAAGTGAAGACAGGAAAAGGGTGGAAATAAGAGAAACCAAAAAGGGAAGGGGAGAAACAAGAGAGGAGAAAGAGGAAAGGGGGGGGGGACGGGAAGAAAAAAATGGGAAAGTCTAGACTCCTCTCCAATCTAAGCGGTCATTGGATACTGCGGAAGTCGCTTGATTGCTCAATTTTATTAACACTCGAACCATCTTTTTAAAAGTTTTAAGCTTTTAACCGTACCCGTGAGAATCACCCCCTCACACACACACACACACACACACACACAAGAGTCATTGCTGTAAACAACCGATAGCTGGAAAGGCGGGATCCAAGAGTCAATGCTCGATCCTGCAAGCACAAATAGGTGAGTACACACACACACACACACACACACACACACACACACACACACACACACACACACACACACACACACACACACACACACACACACACACACCCATCTTCATATCTTGCCCCACAAACTACAAGCAAGCAATACTTGTCTCTCACAAGTTTTACATTACATCTTAAATTCCAGTAACCCGGGACATTTTGCTGCAGTCTTGTTCCAGTTGCCGGGGTCGTTATTGTAGCGACCATCATAAGGCTGTCACGGCTGTCGGCGTAACTATACACACTTTCTTAGCTTTTAGCTCGGTCGCCTTCAGCGCTGCTCGGCTGCTCTGGAGAAGCTGGCTCGGCTCGGCTCTCCTTGCTACGCTCACCACCAGACTATCGCCTTTCTCACTCCTTGCCTTGCCCTCTTGCTTGCTTGCTTGCTTCCTTATCTGCCTGTTTGCTAGCCTTCTTGATTGGTTCCTTGCTTGCTTTCTTGCTTATTAGCTTGCCTTCTTGTTTACTTTCTTTGCTATTTTATTGCCTGCTTTCAACTTTGTTCTCTATCATGTTGCGACTATATATTCCACACTGGCAGACTCCAATGCAAGAATATACATATTTTAAGTCCAGTAGGTAACGGGTCGGCCCCTCCGGCCCCTCTGTGTACACTCGGGTCCACTACAGCACCAGGGAACGGACTGGCAACACTGCATGCCAATTTCATGGGAGAAAATGGCACTCCGTGGCACCGCAGACAAGGCTATTCAAAGGCTAATAAACACATGACAATGCAGGACACATTCAAGCAGTCGACACGTTCACTGCCATGTCATCCCTGGTCTCCACCATGTCCGCGGACACCTTGCCTTCCTCGGCCTCCATGTTCTTCCCGCTCTACAAGCGCTGCCTGGCCTCCTAAGCTGTCATTGACAACACAGGTGGTAATGTTGGCTCTCAGGGGAAACTGTCAGGTGACAACGGAGCAGACGACGGCGCTGGAGTCCTTCATATAATATCACCCCAACAGCAGCAACCACACTCAACCAGTTAACCAAAATCCCCTAAAAACCAACTGCTGAAGATCATTGCTGTCAGAGCCAACAGCATCTACCAACAAGCAACTGTCAATAACCGTATAACAAAAATAAACACTACACCAACTACCACCAATCAACCACCACCAGATCAAAATAACCAACTTATGCACATCCCTTTCCAGTCCATCTAGTCCAGGATAGAGATATCACTGACGTTCCCTGGACGGTACTGACCCATTGGATACTGCGGCCCGCTCGACTCTTACCTGGATTCTACCCCCCCCCCGAACTCTCCCTCCTCCCCCCCCCCCCAAAAAAAAAGGCTCGTCTCTAGGGTTCAGAACACAATTACGAGTATTTCTCTCGGAAGAGAAGTTCTCGAGATTAATGCTGCTTGTGCTCTCTCACCAATTTCTACACTGACGTAATTCGTTGTGTCCACTCCAGTGTCCAGTGGTGGTGGTGGTGGTGGTGGTAGTGATTATGGTGGTGGAGACTGTGGTAGTACTCTGTTGCTGGTTACTCTAGTGCTTGTTAGCGCATACCTTTTATTGACCGGCAGCTTTTATTGACCGGATGTGCAAGGGACCTGCGGGCCTGCGCCGATCCAACAGCAGCCGTTCAAATCAAGTTATCAGAAGTAGGGAGCAGCCCGTCCTCCTGTTTTGGTAGTGTTTGTAGTAACGATAAGGACCACAGTACATATACCGACTTATAACGTTATCAGAAAGTAGAAATTTGAATTTGGACAAATTTTTGTCCTATTGAATTTGGACAAAAAGGAAAGAGATTTTATATTTATGTTGTAAGGTCAAACTAAACTAGCCTAACCTTACTAGGCCTAATACACGATATCTGAGGCCTAGTATAGTACACACGTGTGCTAGACTAGGCCTAGGAATATTTAAGTTTGTTTTTTGCTTTATTTTTCGGACTCTATAAAGTGAATAGTACAAAATTCTACTAATTGCTTAGTACGTCGATCTTTGTACTATGGTGCACATAGGTACAAAAACTACTATCTAAATAGGAGGATGGTTTTTTTTAGGGAGTAGCAGAACTCTCGAGCCGACTACAGGTAAATTAAAGTTAACATATACTCACACACAATCAGGCTAGTCCAAGAACTAATAGGCTTGAGTTACTAGGAAATTTTAATGAAAATAAAATTCACATCGCCGGAAATGAGAAGGTTTAGAAGAGTCCCGATTGTCACGCTTGATGGGTTTCTGGGAGTTCTTCTACTCCCCAAGCCCGGCCCGAGGCCAGGCTTGGCTTGTGAGAGTTTGGTCCACTAGGCTGTTGCTTTGAGCGGCCCGCAGGCCCACATACCCACCTCAGCCCGGTTAGTCCGGCACTTCTTGAAGAAAACTATATAGTTTTCCCTTGAAGATGTCCACGGTTGTGACGGCAATAATTCTTATGGTCGCTGGGAGGATGTTGAACAACCGCGGACCTCTGATGTTTATACAGTGTTCTCTGATTGTGCCTATGGCACCTCTGCTCTTCACTGGTTCTATTCTGCATTTTCTTCCATATCGTTCACTCCAGTATGTTGTTAGTTTACTGTGTAGATTTGGGACCTGGCCCTCCAGTATTTTCCATGTGTATATTATTTGATATCTCTCTCGTCTCTTTTCTAGTGAGTACATTTGGAGAG